TACAGACACTGTCCCTTCCCTCTCTTCCTGTCTCTTTCTCTGCCACACTCTTGTAATCCCTGATCTGATCTGGGATTAGCGGATGAGTGGCTCACATTCTCCTTCCCGGCTCTGACACAGATAGAGCCTCTTCCTGCTGCAATTAGCCTGGGAATCAGCAATTCGGGAATGAGCCAATCCCTTTAAAAAACAAACAGCAGGCTGCTGGTGAAACTCTGTTTATGTCTCTCTTTATAACACATCGTTGTGCATGAAGTCTGCCTCTGTCTCCCACTGAACCCCCTCTCTCTTTCTGATCCTCTCTCTCCCCCCTGATCCCTATTTCCATCCCCGGCTCCCCTCCTAATTCGCAGTAGCTGTCTTCCCCCCTCATCCTCGTTAAGCTCGTTAAGGCATTAAGAGCTGATCTCCGGGAGGGTGATGTAAGGGGACGAGTCGTCCCAGGGGGGATGGCCAGGGGTGGGGGGGCTGGTGTGGGCGTCCTGTGTCGTCCTGTGGGCTGATGGTACAGTTCAGTGGGGCGAGCAGAGGACTCCCCCTGCAGGCTGGACGCAGAGCGCCGCTCTGTCCCCTCGGATGTCCACTGAGCTGCTCTGTCCAGCTGCAGCCCAGAGCAGAGCAACCATCTCACTCTGGTCATACAGCCCAGGCCAGAGAGAGGGGTGTGGGCACCCACAGTCTCGGGGCCAGCGGGGGTGACCCCAGACCTACAGTCTCGGGGCCAGCAGGGTCACCCTACGGGTCTCAGGTCCACAGGCTCGGGTCGAGCAGGGTGACCCCAGATCTACAGTCTCAGGGTGAGCAGGGTGATCGCAGATCTACAGTCTCGGGGTGAACAGGATTACCCCAGATCTACAGTCTCGGGATGGGCTAGGTGACTCCAGATCTACAGTCTCGAGGCGAGTGGGGTGTCCCAGTTCTACAGGCTCGGGGTGAGGGACAGGGAGGGCAGACGAGGGGAGCTCTCAGACTCCTCACCTGACTGGCTCTGCGCTGTGCTGCTGAGGTCCTCCGGGCGGCTCGGCTGCTTCTGATGGACGTCCCTCTGTGTGGGTCGCTGTGATCCCCGAGCCTGTCCCACGCCCCCTTTAAATAGCCCTTATCCCCCCGCCCACGCACCCCCCGCCCTCCCAATCACAGCGCTCCGCCTGGGGTCCTCAGGGGACGAGCTCAGCCCGGCGAGGAGGATCAGGGCAGGACAGAGCTCGCCTGTCCGCTGCATGTGTCCAGGGGGGAGAGGAGAGGAGGAGGGAGGCAGGAGCAGGAGTCTCGATTCTGCACTTTAATCTGCTGAGAGGAGAGGAGGAGAGGAGAGGAGGAGGGAGGCAGGAGCAGGAGTCTCGATTCTGCACCTTAATCTGCTCAGGGTCTTAACGAGCTGCTAATGGGATGAGCCGCAGTTAGCGTGGGGCAGGGGAGCCGCGCTGTGGGCTTCTGTATTTACAGCTCCTAATCGGCGTGTGTGTGTGTGCGTGAGGGGATTCAGCCACTGCGCTGTGCGTGTGTCCGCGTGTGTCCGCGGGGGTCTGACTCAGAAAGCCCCGCGCAGGCCCCGGGTCAGGGTCCCAGCTCAGTCCTGACCTCTGTGCTTGGCTCTGCTGTAGCTCAGTCCGGATGGAGGGGCCTGAGTGACTGCAAGAGGGTTGTGCAGCCAGGCGAGGCCAAGCCTGCCGTGAGCTCAGCTCCCCCGTGAATCCTCCACACGTGCTGACTGGTGGGTGAGCACAGCCAGACGAACACCGCCCCCTTGTGGCGAAACTCAGGAATGACCAATTCTGGCTTTGGAGGACAAAGGGTGTCATTCCCAGGCCCGACCAGCAGAGGGAGGCATTAGAGAGGATTTCCAGCTGGAAACCGTCCCTGTCTCTGTGATCTGCGCTCTTCTCTGGTCAATGTGGCTCAGTGGGAGCAGGGCGCTGATATGGCTTGTTTTACATCTGGACTGAACTAATCTGACTCTCAGGCATTTCCATGAGAAGAGTTCACAGAGCAGCCCTGAGACAGGCTAGTGTCTGCTGTGTGTTCTCTGTGTGTGTGCAGTGTGTACAGTTTGTGTGCAGTGTGCAGTATGTGCTCTGAGTGTGTGTGTGTGCAGTATGTGCTCTGACCTGACTGTCCAGAGACTAAAGCCAGCAAATAGAAACTGGACACAGACACTGGACACACGCAGACCTGGCTGTCCAGAGAGGACAGGCTCAGTGACCACAGCCTGGCCAGAGACACTGGACACAGACTGACCTGGCTGTCCAGAGAGGACAGGCTCAGTGACCACAGCCTGGCCAGAGACACTGGACACACGCAGACCTGGCTGTCCAGAGAGGACAGGCTCAGTGACCACAGCCTGGACATAGAAACTGGACAGACTGACCTGGCTGTCCAGAGAGGACAGGCTCAGTGACCACAGGGTGGCCAGAGACACTGGACACAGGCAGACCTGGCTGTCCAGAGACTTTTTGAGTTCCTCTGGTCTGTCGGTCGGTCACAGGAAGGAAACTTTTTCCAGGGTGAAGGAAGAGAACCGGTAGCCCGAGGCCCCGCCCCCAGATGACCCCAGAGGCCCCGCCCCCAGAGGCCCCAGCTCCCACACGCCTGCAGCTGATTGGTCCACGTGCACCTGCGGCTCTCAGCAGCACCTGTGCTCTTCCCAGCAGCGCTGAGAGCGGCCAGCCAGTCAGGCCACCCTGACCGGTCAGCTGACAGGCCTGCCGGCGCCGCTGGGGGTTTAAAGATCAGCATCTGAGCGCCACTCGCTAGACACCGACACTTGGAGGCTGAGAGCAAGCAGAGACTCCTGTCTGCTTGATCACTCTGACCACCTGCCTGATCGTCCTTACCGCCTGCCTGACCACCTGCCTGATCGTCCTTACCGCCTGCCTGACCACCTGCCTGACCGCCTGCCTGACCACCTGCCTGACCGCCTGCCCGATCGTCCTTACCGCCTGCCTGACCGCCTGCCTGACCACCTGCCTGACCGCCTGCCTGACCACCTGCCTGACCGCCTGGCCGATC